CTTGTACCAGAAAAGGGAAGAAAATTGTTTAAATAAGCTTCAATAGACTAACCAATTTACAGAATATGCTTATTGTTATGTATGTCGATATTTTATAGTACTATATATTCTAGAAAATCAGTATAGAACAAAGTCAATAAATCATTTTGAAAAATCGAAATTCGTGGGTATTCGCAGAGACATCCAACCACTACCAGCTTCTCTCTTTGTTGGAAAGTGTATCTCATGAAACTAAGATCAAAAATATGTTTGAATTTCAGCCGACGTTTTAGCAATTTCAGTGACCAAAAATTAAAAAATCACCTTTTGGGCATTTCTGTAAATCAGTTTATATCGTTGCCATATGCTTTCGATGAATTTTGACTCAAGCACCCTCAGGAAACACAAGTCTTTCCCGGGGAGCTTAGATTTCTTGGAAACTCTAACTAGTGCCAATCTTTCAAATTCAGCAGGAATTTTTTAGCACCTTAAACGAAACTTTGCGTGTTTCCACTTTTTCGATTCGTTATGTTGGGTGGGTCGTACGTGTCCTGCCATTTCGGACAATATGATCCACCGGTGGGTCGTATGCTTTCTGAGGTTTTTGTTTTTCTAATATACGATTAACTTTTTGGACAAACTGAATAAACTTCTGTATACCTCCCTTGGAATACTTCTTAAAAGTCAACAATTCAGAGCATAGGATCCATCAATGGCCAGAAAATATTAAGCAAGCTCACTGCGAAATGTGCCCTAATCCGAAATGGCAGTCATCGAAAATTCGTTGTCGTGGTTAATTGGGAAAGCTGCGAAACTTTTCATATAAAAGAAAAAAATTTCTTTGTCGCATATTTTCATGCCACTTCTACCAACACTGTGATGCAGCTAGATCCGTAGAAATTGAAGACTTCATCTTCTACTCAAAAATCTCACTAAACCTGTTCCAGATCTCATGTCACGACATAAACGTCGAGCAGATGCTGTAGAAGTATTTAACCCTCCTATCGATGGAAGTAAGTTTGCTTAGCATATCCATGCTTAGCGACTTTGTGATCTATTTACATTTATTTTCACTTTTCTCGTAAGAGATGATTTATTATAGCCATTACGGCTAAATATGTCTCCATTCATCTTCTACTGGTTTGCGTTGAATGATGAGTTCTCGACAGTGATAGCAGGCGTGCGCAACGGATTTGATTGATAGCGCTTGGAGCGCATGATATGTTGCGTCGGAAAGCTAAAGATACTAACTGTACCCTTTTCTGCTTGGGGCTTATTGGCATAGGCTGAAGTTGAATTCTTCAAAACTGGGGTTGCAGTGCCGCCAAACGGGTTTGAGGAAGCACTGAATACCAGCCCGGCATGAGTTCGTTTCTGGGCTTGTTGAAAACGCCCCCTTGACTTTCGCGCAATTTTACGAAGTCTTCTTTGACTCTCCGCCCTAAACGTAAAAAACCCTCAAAAAACGAAACGTCGACTCAAAAGAAACGTCGCAATTTTTGGCCAAAAAAACGAAATCGCCTCTGCTTTTTCGCCTCAAAAACGAAGTCCAGCCTGCTTTCATACGATCTGCGCCGGGCCATGATGCCAGCTTATCTCTCGCTCAATTTTTTTCAACAGAATTCACCAGCCCAGTTTGATATTGACAATCTTAATCAAGTCAAGTTAAGTTCGTACATCCTTCAACAGCTCTGTCACTATTTCTAAGCTCCACAGGTATCGTGATCAAGATATTTTTAGCAATGATTTTTTTGTTGGATTCTGGAAAACATTTTTTCGTAAAATTTTGCAGATGCAAGAAAATAAATTAGTTTACAGACAGTCCACATACTGAATTTTTCCGTTGATTCGGATAATATTTCTTCTCATGCCTCATTCACGAGTCATGCTCCAGAACTAGCACAAGCGACAAAAAAAGCCAGGTGCTCTTCTTTCTGTGAGCACACAAAATTGCCTTAACCCACTTCAAAAATTTTATTGTCGATACTGTAAAATGAAGGTATTTTGAGCAATTTCGATTACCACTATGATGATGCTATTTCTGGCAAGTTTCCAGTCTTTTAAGAATTCGCGGCACTCATCGTCAGAAGAAAAATAGGACTTGGCCAATCTGAAGTTTAGGATTCATAAAATTATTTTGATTCTGAAAATATATAATTTTCATATCATAATATATCATATTGTATTCTGTATAGGATACATTTTATTCAATTTCATATTCGCATCTAAAATTGATAATGTTTGAAAATTCTTTATGGGAGAAAGCACTCGCATAATCTTGTAATTCACTGCACCACTTCAGATTTCACGACCCATTCTTTGCGCCCCCTTTCCTTCCCCCATATCGTATAAATTGTGATATAAACTCTGCTTTGGTGACATACTTTGTAGATACACAGTCACTATCCTATAATGGAGCTTTCTTCTGTGACCATTAACTCAGACAACAGACCGTAACTTCTGCAGAACGTTTGGGAAAGTTCCGCCGGGTCATTTGCGGAATATTCGTAAACGTGGTGCAGAAGTTCCGAAGAATGCCAACTACAACAGCAAAAGAGAACACCTAGGCGAGATTTGAACCTTACTCTATTGACTGTGAGACTCACTTACTAGTTGATTGTGAGACTTGGCTACTAGCCTCTGCGCTACGGCTGACTGTTCGAAATGCACTCTAGTGGTTGGCGAGGCAACATCATATGAGACAACACATTCAAAATTCTGCGGAAGTACTGGCTTGTCAAACTACTGCGGAACCGCTGGCATTTTCGGAAGTTCCGCAGCGTTTTGTAGAAAATTCTGCAGAAGTTCCCATTTTCAACCACTCGACGTGAAAAGCCTGCGGAAGTTCCCATTTTCAACGTTTCACTTTTGCAATAATAAATAAAATCCTGCGGAGACGCTGCAAATTTTGCTTGTCGGGAAGTTCCGGTGTTGTCTGAAAAGGAATAATCTATTCTAGAGTGTGGACTTGGCGAAGAAATAAGATTCTGCAGGCCAACATGTGAGCCGACATGCATGCATTTGGTTCCAGTAAGTGTCCAGGACATTCATAATGAGAATTCCTGATATTCAACTTCAAATTTGAAAGGTCTGTTCTGCGACTTGTGGACCGCCAGTGTGCATGTGCCAACGTGGATCTGTTCGCCAATCCGGCATGTGCATACCCAGTTCGGCTTGTAGGTTCTTCGATCTCGAGGCGGAAGCGGAAGTGGCAGAAGAGGTAATCAGTTACACTGCAGCCATCAAACTGGTAAAGATGATTGCACGAAATCGCCCGAATCGCCATAAGCTGAACGCCCGCGAGTCTGTTGCGGGCTTACATTGGCCTTCGCGCACATGGAGTCATCACAACGGTACTTGGCAGCCGCGTTGCAGGCACGCTCGCTGCGTTCGGCCTACAGCGATACGGGCGATTTTGTTCAAATGACTTTAGACAAATTTTCAGATACAACCTATTCCTCCGGAAACCACAGAAGCAGCAATAATCTCAACAACTGCTCTATCTATTGAGACATCTAGTATCGCAGGACTTCAACGTCCACTTCGTCCTCCACCACGTTGGTTTTCTCCTAAATTGAATTCATTGAGCATCTATGGTAGATAGGATCGCGGTTGCGCTCTTGTCTGTTTCCTGCGATTAATGTGTTTGAGATAACGTAATGACTGCGCATAAGTGAATTCTTGTTGGTAAAAGAGAGAGAGAGGGGGGGGGGGGTGTTTTCAGAATGCGGGAAGGGCGTGACTTTAGTCTTGAAACTTTTCTGTGAAACTAATCGATTCTCCATTATCTCGTACCGCATTTTGAATCTTGAGGAGAAGAGGCTTGGTCAGAGCTCGGCGAGCTTGCACCAAGGAAACTTCAAAACAAACTACCCTTTAATTTCAAAATTTTTGTACCAAGGCTTCGACAAAATCCTAAACGTAGAAAACCCTCAAAAAACCGAAACATCGACTAAAAAAACGTCGCAATTTTTGTGTTTTTTCGGCTAAAAACAACATCCTCCCTTTGCTTTTCTTTATCTTTTTGCCCCAAAAAGCATATGCAGCTTGAACCGTGCCAGCTGTGCAGGGCCCTGGATTTGGCTTACTCATTTTCGTGAAGAGGAAGGGGATGTGTTGATTAATTTAGCTCTTTCTTCTAATACTTTGGACAAGCTTACAAATTGGGTGAAGGCCGCGTCTATTCATAGATATCGTAATTTGTGCAAGACACAATTTGTTCAAAATTTAGACTCTAATCTTCCATGTCATTCGAAACATCTGACTCCATTCTTTGAAACGCAATTCCTTATACCTTGTCATGTAAGCATGTGTTCATCACCAAGTAAATGGTGGAATCCTCCACAAGGAATTTATTCATTTTTTAATTTCAATGACGCCGTAATAAAGTGTTCAGAATGCGGACAAGGACAGTCATTTACGCGATGCGTCTGCGATTCCACGTGCCAGTCAAGCAAAGTAAGTGAAAGGGGTGCAAATCTGTTTTTTTGAATAAGAATGGATTTTGGAGAAGGAATTGAAATAAAAAGTTCAACTCTTACCTCTTCCTCAAAAAGATTTGGACCGATGTCTGCATTGAAGTGGTGTTCATTATGCTAAACATCTGCTCGAGCAAAATCTGGATGTGAGATCCAACTTCCTTTTGATTTTTTCAATCTCGAGTCGGGGTCTAAAACGTTTTATGATCTCATAATAAACAAAACCGCTAACAATCGATCCAAAGAATACGTTCAATTGTACATCAAACTATGGAGGCAGAAAATTGGGGAAATTTATTTTTTCTGAGGAACTCGTTTTTTCTTAAATTGTCCTATGGCATCACTGTGAACTGACTTATTAGGAGGTAGCGCCACTGCTCTGGATAGTTTCTCTTTGTGTTTTTGAATCTGTTTTCATTTTATAGCTTTTCTATGCCATTCCCAACCGATATTAGGGGAAAAGGAGAGGTCAGATAATTTATAAAAATTTGGGATTCTGGAAATTGTTGCAAATATCCTCGACAGAAGTCCCTTTCTGTTTAGATGTGCGAAACATGCTCATCTGGCTGTGGATGTTTTCCACACCATGTTCGTGCCGTTGAGGGAGCTGATATCTGCATTCACGAACGTAAATGTCCACAGCAGGATATGAGAATGGTCTGATCGCATAGTCAGCTTTTTTAGTAAAGGAGTCTTTAATCCCTTATAGAAATCTCTGGAAACAACCACCCCTGGACGAATGCCAGCTCCGCCAATCTTTCCTAGGCCTGCAAAGCATCTGGAAACAACTACCCCTGGACGAATGCCAGCTCCGCCAATCTTTTCTAGGCGTGCAAAGCAATCCAGGACTCATAGCGCATCTCTCGAAGTTAAGCCGGAAATTAGAGGTGGAAGATATCTCTAGATCATTACGGGAATTCACTAAACAAAAAGTTTCAGGAAAAGAAAATATTGCAGTTACACTAGTACGTTCGAAAACACTACGAACAGTAGCGAGAGCGAGTAAAACAGTGAAGAGGACTATGCCGATTGTTCAAGGTTGTGCCTTTTCGGTTCAGTATCAGAAAAAAGTAATTAGCATTTTGTATTGCTTTAGATTCTTCACTCCATTACTATGTTTGCTTCTTATATAATAGGTTGTTAAAAATCAATGCATTTTACACAATTCGCATTTTGAAACTAACCTTCGAATTTACTATTTAATTCTTATGAGGAACTTGTCAACTAAAACTTCAGTTGATAGTGACACCACAGGTGGCCCAGATACAATACCTGTCTTTGAACTTTTGCGAGAATTTTTAACTACAAGCCCCGAGATAACCATTTCTTTGTCTTGAAGGGACCCTATCCATGGATTTTGACTATGGAGTTATTTATGTAAGATATTTGCAGGAGTTTTTTATGTGAGGTATTCTTGTGAAAAGTACAGGCATTTTTGCAAAAATGACTACGTTCTTTTGTTTCATTCTCCACGTATCGGGCAATCTTTTGCTCTCTTTTAAAAAATTTTATCAGCTCAAGTCGTGCAGAACTGCTTGAGCTCAAATTTCTGCTTTCTTACCAAAAACTGCGGAAAAGTGTTGGGCATTATGTGAAACAGTTTTTTTTGCGAGTAATAGATATCCCTTTAACGCGTACGGGTTTTTCATTTTATATCAAAAAACCTTTTGAAATTGTATGACCAGACAAAGGATTCGGTTGCATTCAGAAAAATTTCCAAACAAATAACTGCACGGCTAGGGAATTCTGCGTTATGCAGTTTAGCTGAATGGTCATATCTATCACATTCAGGTCCAAAGAAAGTGCAGTTACCAAAGCAGAGCTTCGTCAAATCCAAGCCTACCTCAGCCTCAGCGGAAAAGAGCAAAGAAACGATCAAAAGTTTGTATAAAATGACATTATTCGACTTTAATAGAAGAGTATTCAGCTTTGATGATTCCTGCCCATATGGGAGAACATGGTCCCACGCCGCCACCACGACATTTGCACGACGCCGCTGTGTCCAAAAAAGGATCACTTTCTACCAAGAGAGGACCACCCTCAACTAGACCATTACACTATGGTCCACCGTCCATTTCTCCCTCAGATTTCTTCCGTTTGAGACGACAAAGGAGAAAGGGGAGGAAGGTGCGGCGTTTGAGAGTGCGACATATGGTGAAACAATGATTCTGTGCATACATGTTTCCAGTCATGAGAAATTTCCGTCACTTGAAGAGATGCAGGGCTTATCAAACGGAGTATCGCTGTCGCTTGCATCAGCACCTCCATTCCCACGATGGACTGTCATCTTTTACGAGAACTGCTCTCTGATCACTTTCCCAGGGCGAGCGCGGGAAAAGCCTCAATCAATTGGAAGTGATTAGAGTGCATATTCGCGGAAGAGACGCAGAGTCCAGCGCGGGAATGGAGTGCTGATGCAAGCGACACTGCCTTTGATAAGCTCTGTACATTGTTTAGCAGCAAAATTTTGATCCAACGTTGTTGTATATATGAACCAGCATGAGTTGATGATAACGGGCATTATGTATGTACATATTTTCCAAAGACATTTTTGATCGAATGCAATATCACTATTGTTTTGTAGCCCTCCCCCTTGTTTTTTGATATAGATTTTGTTGTCTTTCATTCTTTCCTACAACCATTTATAACCTAACCGTTTCTGACCTGAATTTTCCCTCGGGAGAAGATTCATACATATTGTGAATAACATCATAACGGAGTTTGAAGTCTTTCGTATAAATATTGCTTTCAAACTTTTTGATTTTGATTTGCGTTCAATACGATCAAATTTCCTTGAGTATAAACAAGTAATGATGACCACAGAAAAAACGACTCGTGATAATGAAATGAAAGGCGGAAGAAGATGCCTACATAACACATCGTATGGCAACAGACCTTTGACATTATCTTTTTTTGATGAACAATCACAAAATTTGTAATACTACTCATTCAAAGCCTGAAAACACAAAATTACGGCATTGGGAAAATGACGATGAGTGGTACGAGAAACATAGATCGTCGACGGCAATAATTCAAAGGTTCTCGCAGTTCATCCTCATGATATCATCATTCCATAAAGAAAAAAATGAGAAAAGAAAACACAGGAAGAGGTACACAATTATATTGATTAGCATCGATTATTGACTTACATACTTAGCATTTGAATTCCACTGGACAACCTGCCAAATTGCGCGTCGACTGAAAACGCGCAAGATATGCCCAGGACCTAAAGCATGCTACTTTTTCAGGCAAAGTTTGGTGAGAAAAAAATTCTGGAAGAACCTTGACGTGCGAGAGTTCCTATGAGAGAGAAGAGGGAGATACAAGAGAAGTTACTCTGAAATAAGGCAACAAACACAAAAAAGCAAGAGAAGTTAGCTTAAAATAAGGTAACAAACACAACAAGAGCAAGCACGAAAAAACGCTGGATTAAATACGGTAGTCAGGCTCCCGTAACAATCTTGCACGAAATTGGGGGTTTTGCTTAAGATTATTTTCATATAAATAAGATTTTTCATATAAAAGGATTTTGTTGTCTTACATCCTACAACCGTTTATCACTTGAATCTTTTGGAGCTGAATTCTCCCTCGTAGCCAGAGAAGCGTCATTCCCATTCACATACTGTGAATAACATCAATAATATCATCTTTCGTAAATAACGCCGGGTTATACGTGACTGATAACATGGACATTTCACAAAGCGCAGCCATCTCATGTGTGGCCAATTTCCAAGCACATCTCCTTCGCTTCTCTCATATAACAGGTTCCGGAGGGTTCTGGCGGTTGCCGGCGGGTTCGAACGGGTACCGGAGAAAGACGGCCACCGGCGCAGCTTGAAGTATGCCTAACAAAAGACACCATTTGACTTTCTTGTAACGATGAAATAATGTCTAACAGGGCAAGAACTCTTTGTCGAAGTGGCCTTTGCGACTGATATGCATCCTAAAGGGCACTGAACTCACTTCAAATTTGTCCCCTTTATCTGGGAAGCGCTTCTGTTGACGAGGAGCATGAGATGAAAAATGAGTGCTTGATCAGAATAAAATCAGTGGTGAGTACCCTTACAAATCGCAAATGGAATAATGGCGAGCACGGCGCTATTAAGCAAAAATTTTCTCTTTATAGAGGTTTTACAGTCACCAGTGTTCCATTTGAGCCACGCAAGACCTCTATGCATGACTTTCTTTGGAGTACGCGTTCATATTTTGGTTACAAAAGTTCTCATGGCTCTTTGTCCAGAGGTGCTCCGCAGATGAGGAAGACAGATTTGGAACCAGTGTTTGATGTCCTATAAGAAGGTAGACGGGTGACGAGGTCACTTCGACTAAGGAAGGTAAGGAAAAACCCTCCTTTCCTAGTAAGTAATGTTTCTTGAGTAAGTTTGCTTGCAAAACATAGATTCGAGAGTGGGATATCTGGACTCGCTTAAATCTGAAAAAAAAAACCTTCAAACATTGCTTAGTATAGTTATTTGGTTGAAGCTTACAATGTTCTACAAACATTCCAAACTTTATGCACATAAATACAATGGTAAGCGGAAATATGCGTGTAATCTGATTAGTTTCAAATTGTTCTGCATAAATGAAAGCGTCATTTCTCTTGCTTGAATATGCGCACACCTGGTTTTGTGGCCACAAAAGTAAGGGTACTACGACCTCCAGACAAACTCAGCAATGTCCTTCTGCCGTTTTCCAGAGTATTTGGTAGGGGAATCTGAATATTATATCACTCATGATGTAACGTATATGGGCAAACTCACCAATTCTTCTCGACCGTGTATCGAACTTGCATTGGTGAAGTACACCTTGACTCCGTTAGTAAATCCACTGCAATGATTGTGATTCAAAGCTTACTATCTAGCGTCCCCGGCCGCAATGGTATTAGGTTGATGCATAATTCCTGCACCAAAATTTTTGAAATTCTGTTACTTCCTCCAGCTGCGATGAAATCTTCTGGTTTCGCTGCCATAGGTCCCAAGGAATTTCGGCTCGAGCACCGTCAAAAAGCGCAAGATTTGCTCTCTCTACCATGCACAAGGTAAATAAGAGAAAAACCCAAAAGTGATTTTTCGATTTTTACTCGCTAAAACTGCTAAAACGTCTACTAGAATTTAAATTTATTTTTGATCTATTTCATAACATGCTCTTTTTGACTAAGAGAAAATGGTAGTGATTGGATGTCTCTGCGAAGATTTACGTTCGATTTTCTTTTGATTTGACTTATCGATTTTGTTTCAAATTGATTTTCTAAGTTATACTATAAAATACTACTTTTGATATACATAACATAGAGCACAACATGTAAGTTGTGTTTGTTTAAGCATTTTTGAAATATTTTTTTGGATTTTTTGGTGCAAAAATTGTGCATAAACCTAATACATTGGCTCTTATATTGGCGTCAGTTGCAGAAAGGCAAACCATTTTATTACTACCCACTATCACGATTATGTACTTACATTCGTTCTTTGATGATGTCAAAGACATAATCAACGTTGTAGTCCGATGGTAGCTCCCTTTCTAGCTTCTGCCTGACAATTCGTGATTGCAGCTGTAATGCTTGTAATTTACCTGAGCAAATGCACAAACAAATGGGGGCAAAGTCAAAGGGTCAGGTAATCAACCACAAGTCTTTGCATTTAACTGAGAATAGTGGCGAGAGCAGGCATAATCGGAGAGCTATAGTTACTTGTTCCGCTATTTCGCAAGGAAGAAGCTGTTGTCACTTATAGGGCGCGCTACCGTATTAGCTCATGAACCTCCTTTCCTTGCTGGGCACGCCTCCAAACTAGGTGATTTTCATAGCCGCACAAAAATCGACATATGCTGCTTTTAAACATTCTTTTGTCACTTAGGCAGTATGCTTCAGAGAAAGATTTTTACTGGCGGTCCCTTGCGCAAACGATTTGTGGGACAGATACAGAGTGCGAGAAGAGTTCGCCTGTGGTAAAAAAAAACACCAACGTTAGCGGATAAGAGATGCAAGGTGCTGTAGAGAATGTAGCGGCTTACGCTCGCACGAAAAATTCCGAAATATTTATAGGCGATTCATCGAACGCACAGACTGAACGCCGTTGCGTTCGAATAAGATAGTTTGTGCATCGGAGAGACAGCAGACGATAAGAGGGAAGAAAGAGCGCTCGACCAGCAAGACGCCGACAGCATCCGAAGGGACGTCTCGTCTTTGCCCATGATGAATCGCCTACACGTCATCTTAGGGCCTTCGACAACTCGAGACGAAAATGCTTGTCTCATGGCTTTTGCAAAAGCTGTTCTTTGTATCGGTTATGCATGGAGGTTGAATATGTAGTAAAATGTTTAGTTTTTATTTTGTTAGTTTTCAAGTGTACCCTGCCTACCGATGTTTCACCTTCCCATCCAATTGAAGCTATCACTATAGCTTTCTGAACCGTCAATTTTTAGACAACATGTTCGCTATGACTGTGCACCTACTTCGTCAATCTTTGATTTTGTTATGCTTTAAGTTGTAATTGGCGTACTTATTAGAACGAAATGAAGAAATGATGAAGTAATGAGAACAGTTGGCTTTGGCGTTAGCTACAAGACCCTTCACATTTACTGCAAATTGTAACCCATGTCGGCTCAGAAACTGGGAGACATCACATGCATACACGCAAGCAAAACTACATGATCCAGATACGCCTTAGTTTTTAGACTGCAAAATCATGGAAGGTGGTACTTCAAACTCACCCTTTCCAAAATGAGAACTCTCACATGAAGAAGTTCGGTAGGATTTATTTTGCTTGGAACATAAAACTAAAAAAATAATCATCATCGGCGGTATACTGCAAAAGAATGCTCACATCTGTCGCAGCTGATGCATTCGCAGAGTTAGTTGGTGAAGATTGTTGAACACCAAGAAATGGTGTACCATGTTCCCGAGCTTCCTTGCTGTAAATGTTTTTATCACAGGATATCTCACATTTATACAAGAAAATCTTGCGTGATGAACCACACAACAATTGAAATCTTCAATGTAATTTGATTTAGCATTTCTTTAGTCAAGAATTTGACTCAGAGTCCGAAATTTTGATCAAAACGAAGCATTGGTCATATTGATCCTTTTATATCATTAAGCACAACCAAGCACTTGAAAGATTTTGCTTATTCTAGATACGAATCTTTGCATATTTCTTTGCACTCATGCTCTTCTTTTACTTTAATTGAGTAAAGTGAGTATGCTACTAAGCTCCAAAACAATTGGCAATATTCTCTTTTCCTGCCGCTAATGCTCTGAACCTACCGATATTTTCCTAGGGGCACCCTGTTTATCAAAGTTTGTCGGACACAAGTGGGAACACAACAACCGGGAGAACCTAAAAAGGAGTGAATCAAGCATTTTCCTAAACGGCAGTAGTATTATATTGTTTGTGCCGACCATCTGCATTCGGTACGCTGAGTTCGTTGAACTGACACCTCTTGCATATTTTGTGCCCACAGTCAGGATACTCCATCATCTTTGTATAATCCACTATGCCACGACATGGACCATCGCAAATCAGCATACCATGTAAGGAAGCTGCAAAGTTTACCTAAGCTTATGTGGACTGTGGAATCTTGCTGCAAGTTCTTTCACATACGACTTGTTGTGGCGTGATGAGTGACAGAATTGTTGATTCGTGCCCATCGTTCCTGTGTGTCAAGCGAAGAATCAAGCCAACGCACCGTCAGCGTAATCAGCTGGCTAAAATTCTGACTATCCCTCCATGTTCTCGGAAATGGTGAATTTACATTCTAAGTGGAAAAATAGACATGCAGTCGAATGAGGGAACTGATCACAGTGTTTCTTTGATTTTTGAAACTGGTTTAACCTTAAGCGTCCATTCACTCGATGAATCATAATCTGACAAGGGAAGGAAGCTTGGTCGAAGTGTCCTTTTGAGCTGAGATGTATACTGCCCTGTAGAGCTTGGAACGCTGATTCCAAATCTACTTTTGGTATCTGCTGCGGGCTTCGAGGACTTATGAAGGTACTTGTGCGTAAAAATTTATATGCAAGATTAGTATAAGATCAGTTGTAACCTCTTAAATGCGGCGGCAGCGGATTGTTATATTTGATTCAAGAATATTTATTGCACTGAGTGAACCGACTATCAACCAAGCCCTAGAAAAAATGTTGCGATTGATTTTACACTAATCTTGCATTTAACTTTTTACGCACAAAAACCTTCTCAACTCCTCGCCCAGAAGCCCGCAGCAGATGCGAAGGCAGATTTGGAGCTGGTGTTTCAAGCTTACCAGACAGTGTACATCACATTTCAAAAGGCCACTTCGACCAACCTTCCTTCCCTTATGAGCAGAGCCGGGGCTACCCGTTACTTTTCGTATACTTTCATGTTGATAGCGGCGATAACTTAAGTACCTAGTTCCTTTGTAAACAATTTTTGCTGTTTAGAGTTGCCGGTTTTATGCGCAAAGCTTTCTGATGAATCGGTTTGCGAATTAACATCACCTGGTGAGTCTTGAAGCAAGACTCTGCAATGCGCGAGCAGGAGAAGCATGTAGATAGTAGAACTAGTTCAAACTTCTATGGAGCAGGATGACAGGGTATGATAAAATCGCAAACAATCAAAGTGATATGAGGAATGTTGTTGGTTGACAGCGGGGTAGTGATCTCTTTCATAGAACTTATAACAACTTCTATTGTAAGTCACCTTCCCTCCTCGGATCCGCATCTGACACCAACTCCTAGCAGCTGCGTTGCAGGCGTCTTTCTTACAAAGTATGGTAGATGTTCACGTTCTCGCCTAAGCAGTGTTTCAAATTCTACTGTAGTTACCTTGCCTGCGAACAAGAAACTTACACTTTGCTTGTTTCTGAGATCAAGGTGTTACTGTGCGTCATCGAAGATGGGCTGGAAATCCATTTAAACCAGCTGCTCTAGCAAACTAGAGGATGTCCGAGCTCACTATGACGATGTAGACATGGTCGTCCACAGATTACAAATGAACCATTCTAAGGATGAGAGTGTTGCAGAGGTTGGAAATAAACCTTCGCATTATCTCACACCACCATAAAGCGGGGGAGAGGGGGAGGTTCTCTTGTGAACTATGGTGTGAGTGATGAGTCTTCAGATCAGGGCCCGGCACGAGGTCGGCAAATGACAAGCTGGAAATCGTTCTGGGGCCAAAAAGCAAAGGGGAAATCGTTTTTGCGGGGTCCGGGGCAGAGCCCCGGAAAAAAAATTGGTAGTTCATGCTCGCTACTTATCTTGACATGTTATGTGCCTCAACAGGCGAACACTGGAGTTCGCGCGCATCAAACCGCGCCGTCGCTAAGTGCCGCACGCGCGACGTCGCCCAAGCGATGCTATTTGTAACTGCATACATGACTAGTTCTCAATGTGTGTGTAACGATATGGCACCAAATTTTGTGTGCGAACGGACAGAGGCTAGTGGAAACATAGTATGAAAAATTATGAAAAACTTATGTGAACGGAACGAGTAATTAGCATTTTTTCCGAGAATTTCGCAAAACTGGTAAATGAAAATGTGAATTTAAACGGCTCGTTTGGAAAGCGCAGATGAACGATATGGTATGAAACTTGGTAAGTACATGCACACGGGCTTGCAGGACTTAACTGAGGAGTTTCATTGAGAAATTATGTGACTGAAGGTTGCGGCAAACTTTTTTTTGGAAATTTTGCGCTACCAAAGAAATGGAAAAATGGCTCGTTTGCAATGCAGAGGTAACGAAATCGCGCGGGCTTCGGCGTGTATATGCGCAATAGGACTAAGTAATAAAGTATGAAATATTATGAAAAACTTATGTGAATGAAGAGTTTCCTTAACTTATTTCCAAATTAGGTCGGCATTTGCCGACCTAATTCCCACCTGAGGTCGGCAAAACTCTCAATTCACATAATTTTCTCAAAATTTTTACATAAATCTGTTGTACACCTAAAGTTTACTACATGGTGAAATTTTGGTTCCGAAACTCCTCCTCTTGTCCTTGTTGGAGCCCAAAATGGCATCAGCAGCCCAACTTTCTAAGATAGAAAGCGCGCCCCAGTCAATCGATACGAGCGGGAACGGCGTCTCTCATTCCTATGACTGCGTTTCTTTGATATTTTCTCATTCCCTAATCCTTTTTACTGCTTATTTTTCTTCCCGTTTCCTATCTTGGTACAGCAATTTGAGTAATATGAGGAATTTGAGCAATTTGGGCGCTTTTGAGCGCTTTTAGGCGAAATGTGGCCGGTAATCTCGTCGCACAAGCACAAAACGTCATTTTTGGGCTCAAGGGAGTATTCGTAAAACTTACTGGGATCAAAGGGGTATTCGTTTTGGAAAACCCCGTTTGCCCACCTTGTGCCGGGCCCTGCTTCAGATTTGAGCATTACTTTTGAAATTCTATGCTTTGAGAATGCTACGGATTCGGGTCCATTAAACTGTCCTCGTTACACAAGTAATTTATACATTAGGCAGAACTCTGTTACTTTTGGTTAACATGTGCAAAGAGTCTCTGTGAGCCACGAAAAGAGGTGCAAACTAATTTACAAGAAAATAGTCAGACGTCGAAGTGGTGAATCCGGACAAGGTGCTACCATCGGATGCAGCATAGAACGCTGATTGTAGGTCTGTCTTCCTACATATCTACAATACGCCTCCGTGGACAAAGTTACGAGCAGTTTTATTACAGAGAAATCGTACTTAGAAGTTGCGAAACTATTCATTTCTGACTTTTTGACTCACCTTCGAATATGGACTATCTGAAGTAACTCAGCTGCATATTTTATACAACTAGAATTTTTCTGGTTTTTTAGAGATTTCTGCGAAGCTAGATGGAGCCCGCCCGGTTTGCTGTTTCTTAAGTGGCGAAAAAAATGCATTCTTCAAACCTTTAAAAAAACTTTGCACAAATAGTCATAAATTTTCCCCAATTTTTCAGTATCAGAAGGCGTAGCCCCAACTTGCTGTGCACGATGTCCATGAGGCATCGCGCCGTAGGGCTGAGGGAGGAGATGCTTTTGCTGACATTTTGCAAGTTCAGATCTTTTGTTATATTGAATAAACATTTCAAGGCACAATTTCCCAGCATTCCACATTACACAACATTCCACATGTTTTAAAAGTTCTGTCCTCTGCCTACGTAACTCATGAAAATGATGGAAAAACAAAAAGGAAAACTCCATACATACCTCGCTGTACTTTAAAGATACGACAAAGGTTGAACAAAGCTCTATGAAAGCATGAAAAAATTATTAGATGATGTAAGGTGATGATGTAAGCAACATTTCCGAAAAATAAAATTAGTTCTTTGAGAAAGAGGCATGAAAACGAAACGTTGAAACAACTATGGATTTGCATGTCATAAACTTCTGTGTCGACTTTATATTAGCTTTAAGAACAAAGCAGGGAATGGTCAGAACTCAACACAGCCATACCAAATATGCTGTTTATCATCGAACTCGCTTTGAAACGCTGATCACAAATGTATGTTTATTATCTGCCAAGCGACTATCTGGGAGGAGTTATGACGTTTGAATATGCGAACTGTCAAGCGTTCTGTGGCGCATATTTCACGAAATAGATTTCAAAAACACTTATTTAGGTTTTGGTGAATGTGCTTGTTCCTTGTAATTGAAATAACCAAAGCCACTGTACATCCGCGCCATCAGGCTGCCTTTTAAGGAAATATATTCGTCAAAACCCGAAACATTTCTCATATTTGAAAGCTCATGACTCCTAGATATCGCTTGGCAGATAAAAAACATATATTTGAACATATATATTTGAAGTCAGCGTTTTGAGACGAGTCCGATGATCTACAGCTTGTTTGAATGGCTGGGTTAGACCACTTCCGTAAGCATACTTTGCAAATTCTATTCGATCGAGGGTAAAGTTGCTCGACTGCACGCACTCAGTAATTGTTTACGGGAGCAGGTAAGGGCAGAGAACGTGGAGCTATGAAGCAAGTGCGCTCCAGCTCAGGCGCTGACGTGTGCGATGCCAACAGTAGCCCTAATTCCAGAAGAGCGTGAGCTCCTTCACATTGTTCTCTTCACTGGGCTGACTTTGTCTCTAGTTATTGCGGCCTGCTATGCTTCCAAGGTTTCAATTTTTCACTTGCAGAAAACAAAACGCTTTTATCTTGTGCTGCAGATTTTGAACAGCTTATTTCCAATCAAGCTTGCAAGAAAAAGACACAATTAGTGAATAATCAAATTTTGTCACAGAAGCAAAATGATGCTATACCGGAAATCTTTTTCCAAACCATCTCATAGAAATTGTAGCACATAAATACGCTTTGCTATACAGTAATTAATACGATCGACAGTCAAGAGACTTAAGGATGATTGGCTGGTGTGTGAGATAAAAATTTTTCATATTTTCCTTAAACTGATCCTTTTATATAAACCCTGGAAAGCCTAATACCATCTTATAAATCGAAGTATGTATTTCGATCATCAAACTTCTTCTTTTTTGAATGTAACCTGACCAAAACAGTTAGTTTTGATACGGAAAAAAGTTTAGGTCCGGATCTCAATCCAACATTTAGCAAATAGAAAATCAAATAATAATGATTATTGCCAATTATCTTGGAAATTTCCACTTCTGCCATAACATTGCTCTAGAAAAGCCTACACCCTATGAAACAACTGATGTGACAAGGAATGAAACATATGATTTATAATTTACAAAAAGTAATCTCTAACAAAGCAAAAAGGACTGGTGGCCAAAATGTTTGTTATGCTTCTCTTAAACTTCGAAAATTCTCATCTTTGATCGGTGTTACCATATGTGTTATCATATGTGTTATCATGTGCCTCATTAATTATATCAATTTGAGTCGGCTTTACACAAGCTCTCAAAATATACCAACTAAATCGCTTTAGTGCAAAGTAGCATTTATTTTCGCACACTTTGACAAAATGAGGTAATTTTCTTGAAGTTTTGCCCTATTTGATATATCTCCACAAAATTTGCAAGGTGGAACATCTAAACCACTGAATAAAAGATAATTGATGTTTTCAGGCAATAATAAAACTATTATAATATTGGACATGTTGTGCCTCCTATATAGGCATTAACAAAGCTGTAATAAAAACGCGAAATTAATATGCCTACTTCATATGAGCAATATAGTTCTTTAACTCTCCAACCTGTAGATACAGCAAATGTATTGTAAAACCGATTTCAGGAAAACGGCTGACAAACTCAATGTCGCACATTCTTCATCAACAAACGCCGAGCAAAGTGACTGCACCAGCGGCTACTTCTCAGCAGAAACTGAGTCGGAACGGAAAAATGTCAGAAACTGCTACAAGAAATTCAAAGAGAAGTGCGCCTTGATCAATCTTTGTAAAACGTTCGTAATTTATTTCGTTTTAGCTTTTCTGAAACGATAAGGCGCCTAAATCAGTATCGGACTGACACCCCTCCAAGCAAGTGTAAGCCATCTTCAGGATGTGCAGAAACTTTGAGGAGGAATGATTTTAACAGGTGTGCTTATACAGCTTTCCATATTAGCCTTTTCTTTGAAAGTCTTTGTTTTTCTTAGGTTATTTTCCTACATTCCCGGAAAACTTCTAGCAGCTCTAATTTGCCAAAAGACATTTGTAATTTTTTGAGCAAATTACACAGCTTCCAGACTCCTGTACAGTGCCCTGCATTGTTGATAAGTCCTCCGTAGTCCCCGTAGGTCTCAATAGAAGGTACAAGTAGGCTTGCTCTATATCCTCTGTAATTGCATATCTCTTCTAGCTACTTCCCTTTAATTATGAACGAGCAGAAGTTCCTCCCACTCAACTACGATCTTACCGTTACGATTTTTTCACCAATAATGCTTTCATCGCTCGCAACTCAAGATATTCACGAATATCATGCATGGTGAAGATGTGGATTATCTAAGAGTTTAGCTTTCATGGATCATTGTCAGTGTAGGCAAGGTGACCAAAGCGAAGAATAAGTTGACAATACGGGAATGTTTACCTCAAATCCGAGAGAGAAAATTTTTAGGGAAAATTTTGAAGAGCTTAGACAGCTATATACGTAGCCCCATGAGTTTTACTTTGGAAGTTGCAAATATTTGGTGCTTGAATGTCGATTACTCGAGTACTCAACCTTACACTTTTTGTTACTTATTTAGTAATACGGAATGCGCGGAATAAACCATGGTTCTATAGCAAGAGTTTCGAAAAGAATTTTCCTACAGCAATTATGCTTTATCTTCACAGCATCTTTAAAGAGGAAATTCTTCTTAAAAAATTCAGGACAATGATGAGACCACCTGGCACAAGGGGGCGCTTAAGTAACAGTGACATGCCGTGTAGTAAAAGTGGCGAAGGTGGAGATAGAGGTTATGTTCATCTTCTTGCATTATTTTGAATTCATATAACATTTTTTTTCAGAATCTCCTCTGTATTTCACCTATGATTCCGTTCCAGCAATGTATGGTGAAGAATTTGTAGATGCTGCAAGAAGGTGGGGCTTTTCATTTTAGTGAAGGTAGGAAGCGGCGTGAGCGCAAAGGGTTAGACAACATAACCAACTGTGGGATACTGCCTTCTTATGCCCTGCTAATCAGCTCAGTACAGATCTCGGTTGAGTCGCCAGAGTCGTCCAGATATCCGTTCGAGCGATAGCTCCTGCTCATACTCATTTTATAACTCGAGAGAAGGGTGAGTAGGAATAACGACTAGATTGGCTTTATTCGCAATTTTCTCCATTTCAAATGGTTATAGAAACGTTTTTCACGAAAAAAATGAATTTTAGCAAGTTGGAGTCATCCAATCTGGAGCATGCAGCGAGTGAAGGAAGAGCCTGGCAGGTGCGAATGACTCTCCAAAAGCAAACTGGTCAGTTTTGTGTTTGTTTTAGGGAAATTTCCCAAGTGCAAGAGATTCGCCTACAGTTGCTGAGGAGATATATTACTTGGGTGCCGTTCATCTTGATCAGGTGATATCACCGACCTCTCTGCTCCCACTGAATGGAAGGCCTTAAAGGCATTGTTTCGCCAAAATTTGTTCGTCGAGATCTTCGCATATAGCAAGCCTTTCCGTGTCCAACTCAATACGGGTCCAAAATCGCATGAACTGCACGAAAACCCCATTTTCGACAGCCCCGCGGAAGCAACGCGGACGAGTTGTGCCTTCTCCGCCTAGCTTTCGCCACAGTGACAGCAATACCGCTTAGGGCTCTTCTAACAAAATATGAGTAGACGCGCACTGCCCCATTTGTTTAGAATGCATAGGCAGTGCGGCAACTCACATCAGTCATTTGTGGACAAGGTTTTCTCTTTCATACTCCACCTGGCCATATCTTTTAAAGTAGGCCAACCACTGAGTGCGATGGAGGGTACGGTGTGGGTTGAATTTAGTATAGGAATTTTTCGGTCATGGATGGTAAACTGCCGCTTCTGTAAGCACCTACCCAAAGGCCTCTCAATCAGTGACCACGTAAGGGAACTGGTTTCCCAGGTTTGCCTGGACGCTGCCATTAACCACTCTTCCAGGTCCGTGTTCGCTCTACTCTCGCCGATTATCCGCCACCGCCGGAATTTCACCTGCTGCCGCCAGTCCAAAAAGCAGCTTATGTCTTTTATGTGACCGTGTACAAGAGAAATTACAACGACGTTTCCGAATTCCACCGCAAGTTCAATCGCGAGTACTTTAAATATACCTGCAGCGGTGACAGTGATGTTACTGCGCTATGGAAGGTGCGACGGTTGGAATGCAAGAATCTCCTTAGCTTTGATCAACTTGCAGATTTGCAAGTCAATAAAAGATGAATATTTTATGAAGATGGCTTTGGAGTCTCGAGCGACTGAGGACGGTCACTGTCAAAAACCAAACTATCAAATTGAAGAGGAAAATGCGTAAGCTTCTTGTAAATTTCTTACATCGCCGCTTAATGATTGTCCTTGGAAAGGAAAAAAACTTGAATGATGACAGCAGTGCTGAACAATGAAGGTGAAAGAATTTACAGCATTTTAAGGCTTACTTGAATTTCTTGCCTTATTCTTACATTTTTGTTTACTTTTATTAATATACCTTTTCTTTTCATAGATGTATTTTTAGCATGAATGTGCAGGATAGCTTGGGCGAAATTTGCGACAGTCAGACTACACACTATCCAATCCTTGAAGCAAACCAAGGTATAACCTTCCTTATTTTTATTTTACTCACTTAATTTTTTCATTACAGCTCCTCTAAAATATCGCGTAGCACATGCTTTCGTCACATTTGGATACCTAGGAAAAATGGTTACGGTAAATCCGTGCTCATCACCATTCCTTGTGCAGATAGACGATGTCAAAACAATTCTCACCGATCCACATGACAGACGTCTTATCCATATTGCGCAGATATTCAGAGGTTATGTGCACACTCTCTCTGAGTTGCACCATAAGTCTAATTTTCAGGTCCTCTTATCATTGATGAAACACCCACTCACTCGGTACTACTGTACATAGAGCGTCAAATCAAGCGAATCTCAGGTTGCAGATGTGCTACAGATAATTCACTTAGTAATGAGGTCGCCGACTGCGCGTTGATATGGCACTTATTGCGCATGCTCGTCCAACAACAAGGGGTATTTATCGGTTAAGAATTACGTTTTGTGGTATGTAAATTCCTCTTCTCAGCGTGTAACCGGTCCGGACCTCGCAAGGCTGCTATTAGAAACTAAATCCACTTCATCCTGCGGCAGTACGGAAGGACAGCACTCGCGCAAAGAAATTAGACGTAATAGCAACACAGGTGAGACGAGCTCGGGCCGCTTGTGGATGTGCTGATTTGTATGCTCGTTTACTGTCACGTCAATTCATATCTCACTAGAATGTGCGATTACATGCACTGAATATGCGCACCCTCTCCTGAAACTCCCTAACTGTTTGACAAACGGTCCAGATTCTGCTCCCCTGCTGTGCGTCTCTGAAGTGCTGCACTCATGACTAACATGTGGCGACATGCAGCAGATACATGGACCTTCACGCAGTGTTTCACCAATCTCAAAAAAAGAAGTAATTTTCCCGTAGGAGCGCGATTGACTCGTGAGTAGGAGACATCGTACCCATCTCGGAGGCAATTGGATTATTGGCTTCGCAGCCACTTTCGCGGTCCGCCCAAGCACTTTTCACGTCCGGGTAAGCGAGTTATTGATATCTTCTAGAGCTGTAAAGCACAGTTTCAGACTCAACTCATCCAAGGAAGTCAAGAATGATGAATATCCCAAGTCTTTCTGCTGAGTTACTGCCTTTATGGATGCCGCCGATTCTCACCAAGCAGTGTTTGGTCGCTGCTTGTCAATGCCCGTTCTCCCCGAGCTGAACGCATGCGGCGCTGTGTTCAGCTCAGGGTGAGCTGAACACAGCGTTCAGCTGGGTCAGCTGGGTCAGCTTCGTGCCTCTCACTCGTTTCTGCAAGAGCCTTGAAGGCACCCTCCACGCACATTTCGACTTCAATATTTTATCGTTCCGGGGCCTTCTCACGTCCCTGATTCCGAATATGAATTCGAGAATCCGCGGAAACCCCGGCAATCTCTGCCCCGGAGAAAAGCGGGGCGGTTTTTGGAACGGGGAGGTGGTCCTCTGCACTCTTATTCCAGAGCAGTTTTCTCTCCAGACTTTTGTGTTTCGATTGGGGCATTGGCTTGAAAGGGCCCCTACTATCGTATGCTACAAAAGTTCAAGACTTCTGACTTAGGGTGGACGGTGTCTTTGAGGCAATGTCTCACCAAAATTTGGTTATCAAAATTCAACATTAGAAACCCTTCGAGATCCCGCCAAACCTTACGCGAATTCAAAATCGCAAAAAATGCAAAGACCGCGTTTTTGGGAAGCAGCGCGGACGAGTTGTGCCTTCTCACCCTAGCCTAGTCACAGTGGCAGCATCATTAAGAAGGTGGGCGCTGAGTGGAAGGACGTGTTGAAACACGTTTAAGGAGAACCAGGAAGTCGTCCTGTGGACCGAATGGCTTTCAGCGGACCACTTTGAGCACATCTAGAGGAAATCAAATCGTGTCGGACTTGTTGCGGTGGCCTATTCAGAGGCCCCTCTGGTGGAAAATGTGGAGATTTGCGCAATTTCAATTTTGGTGAGAGACAAGGCCTCCAAAAGTGTCTCGGAGCAGGTTTGCATCTGCATCTGCATGGCCTTTCCGCATGTAGGACCCGATTTTGAGCTTTGAACCGGGTGAAAAGACCATTTTTAGGGCGTTTACTTAATTTCCAAACGGCAGCTTGGACTAGAGTTTCAATATAATTTTAAGAGGACCTGTCAGGAAAAACCCTGCCGTCTGTTATTTTTGACTGGTTAGCATGCACAAAGCAGAGAGCAGTCGTGGGGTCCCGCGCTGAACAGGTAAGCGAGCCATCCGAGCGGATCGAAAGCTATTTTTTCGAGGCAGGGGTAACATCAACCAGCACTGGCCCTGGAGGTTAGTGGGGTGACCAGCAACCTCACCACAGCACTATATACCACAGGTTGGAATCTGCTTGGACACTGCTTTTAAAGGTAGCGTCCAGGCAGATCTGGACCTATAGGGATTTTACGTGGAAAGTACTTTTGGGGCCCTAACCAAGGCACTGCCCAGGCGGCAGCGAAGGTAGTGCTCTAACGGTTGAGATATTCCCCTTAAAACTGGACCCCGCGATCGTATTTCGCATGGATTCATGGCAGTTTCGCGCCAGGATCCACGCTTTGCGCCATATATCCATGCGAAATATGATCACGGGGTCCAGTTTCGAGGGGAACATCTCAGCCGTTAGAGCACTACCTGAGCTGCCGGTTGGGCAGTGGCTCAGTTAGGGCCCCAAAATTACTATCCACGTGAGATCCCCATGTGTCCAGACTTGCCTGGACGCTGCCTTTGAGATCAGCGCTGCATGTTGCCTTTATGTTACTACGCGTGCCATAGGTCAGAGACCCAGGAACACAAGGTCGATGTCATCAAGAACTTGACTGAATGTGACTGAAGAAAACGAGGATAGGAAGTCCAACCGAGACTAAGTTCTCATGTCAAGAAGGGTGGATGTGATGTACACTTATGCAATGACACATGCTACCTGCGTAAATCCTAAGCTTTTAGGTACTCAAATTCAAACAAAAACTTATAGGTACACACATTTTCATGGCTTCCGACACAGGAGGCCGCGAATGCTCCATGAAACTGCTTCTTACAGGTCATATCAATGTGAGTGACTTACTGAATTACTTTCTATACTGCATAGCTACATTAATCATTGCATACTTAGGAAGCCATCGATAATGCATTCAAAGACGAACTCTATGCCGACGCTATGATTATAGCTAGACATGTGCTCGCGCACGATCCAGCAAAGCTTGTAGAGATTGAGGAACGTTTTTTGTGCACCAAGAGGCGAGGCGATCCAGTAGTGACACTCGTATCAGTAGCTCGAAACAAGCCCCTTTCCTACCTAGTAGGTGTTTTCCATGCAAATAATTCCGGTATGGATTTGCATTCTAGACAAGCTCCATCGTTGACTTGGGATGCTGGCGAGAGCATGTTGCGATTATTCTTGCGAACCTCTCAAATCAATATGCACTGAATTATGTAAATGTGTATTATATATTTTTTCCAGATATAGTTCGCATTCAACCATTACCTAGGTATATGAACTTGGAAAATTGTTGGCACAACGCAAGCACAACTGTGCCGCGGACTTCTGCCTCTTGGTCATTGCCATACTGACAGAAATAAATTCTTTCAATCCATTTAGAGAGAAGTACGTTAGCTAGCAAGTGCGTTAATTCTTCAGTTTGTAACCACCAATGACACTTATAGTTATGATGCGGGCACATCGGAGCATTTAAGACTCATCCACAGTGAACCTGCATATGGCAGGTTTGAGAATACACAGTGTCGATATGGGTAATTTTACCACTAAGATAACTATTTTCATTGAATTTGACTGTTGATCTCATGTTCCTGCATTTAATAGTTACGCATGGATAATGACCGTTGGGAGCAAGCAATTCAGAATTGCTGTTGCGGGGCCATTTCATTTGTGCATTTGTAGTGCCTATCGCAAAACACTCAACAGTCAAATTTATTAAGCTCTACGTACACTGTCGAGCACCAGTCTTGCTATTACAGCTTTTCCCTCAGTGACTTTCACGCAACAGAAATATTCGATTATGCTGTACGATTATCTGGGGACAAACCTTATTCTTCCCTTAGTGAATCGCTCGAATTTCAACGAATACGCATACAGTATACCCAACTTATCACTGACTTTGGCGGATTTGCCAATGAGGCATTTAGGTAGGATAATTACTTTATGCTTGTCTGTCAGCTGATTCAGCTTTACAGATATTGCTTGGAAATTGCGTCCTCTATTTGGGGGAATAATCAACTTAGTGTCCAAGAACTGACAGATTTTTGCGATTTGGCGGATAGGTCACAGACTTGAATTCCACAAGATTATCGTGGTCGTTGAGTATATTTTAGGTTCAAATTTGCTGCTTGCGCAAGTGTTGATGAAATGTCATCGATTAGCTCTCTACGGGCTATGGAACAAGAAGGGAAGCAGTGGCAGGAATCCGAGATCGTCCAGTCAAACTCGGTTGCAACTGAAAACGCTGTAAATGCTCTACTTAATACGCCATGGACAGCAAACAAATGTTTTTTTTATGGAAAACTCTTTATAGTGTGAAGCTGACTCTAATACGCAAGAAACTGTTCTTGCAGCTGACAACACATTGACAAATCTTCTGCCGGAGTCGTTTACTTCGCAAAGGTCTTTTTTGACTATCAACGCGTCTACCTTTGTACGCTCTGAACAATGAGCATAGATGACAAAGACAAAATTCGTTTAGATTCGTGACCGAATTGGACATGGCTGAGCCAAGCGGCGAGCAAGCGCAAACTCAACCTCTTCTCTGTACTGGCTCATTAACGCCATCACGTGTAGTAAGCTCTCCGCTCTCAGAAAGCGACGCTAGTCAGCAGAGCTATGTTAGTGCTCAAAGGTACAGATAGCTTTTAACAACACTAAATCATCCACCTATAGTCTATGGAAGACTACTTGGATGAAGAATACGTTACACCGTCCACTTCACCAATCATTCTACCACATCAGCAAAGCATGAATAAATCTATAAACTCTAGTGAAGCTAATTCACGCTCCAGTTCCGTGAGAATTTGCCTTATTAATATACCTTCTTGGATAGATAGAAATACCCTTCAGAATCAATCTGCTGAAGATGTATCTACGATGCAGCCCTCAACAGATCTTTCGTTAGTAAGCCAGTAACACAATGTTATCCGTTTACGTTCGCCTTCCCACATAATTGATTGGCATTGCTTATTTTTGCTTATTTGTCCATTTACAGAATTACACTCATAAACAGCCTCATCCTACCTCTCTCGCTACAGGAATTGAGCAGACAGCGTCGCATCTGAAGGTACCGTATAGTTTAAGTTCACTTTTGTTAACCGTTGTGTTGATAAAATTATAAGCTTTCAAGTTTGGTTTCTGTAATCTACCTAAGCTCTCCCGATATTGAGCGCTAACCACAACAGACTACAGAAAAAATAAATTTATTGTGAGGAGTATGCAGCAAAAAGAGAAAAAACGCCAGTAGATCCGAGATTGTAAAGCCGTATGCGAGAAAGTACATCAATATCAAGTGCTCTGAGAGCGGCGAAAGAATTTCTGTTTCGCATTGCGGCAAGGCGCCTTTACATAATCCCATGTTTCCAAAGTATCACAGATCCCTCAATAATTTAATAATAAGAACTTGTCGGCTTGAAAGGAAGGATACACCACTGATTTTTTCCTTATTAATCGGAGCGCCTTGGTTTTGGTCAAATCGATCATAAGATCTGAAACTACATAGAAAACCGCATCAGTCCTCAAGGGAGATCGTTACACTTTAGCCAATCCTAAAGATAACTTTATAAGTCAGTTGTATTCAAGAATAATTGAGATCGAATCTTACACTTACTATATCATGGCACGCAGGCGCTCTGCAAAATACCACGAAAACCAACCACGGCTAACTCGGGTATTTCTCACCTGTCTACATGACGGGTGAGAAACACATGAGTCACCCCCCCCCCCCCTTGCCCCGCTTTCCTGGACTGGATTAAACGTCAACCCTAGATCAATAAGTGACTAACCAACTTCTGCGCACGGGAAGTACGAAGAAAGGAAAAGAATGGTTCCAACAATTTTTCATCAAAGAAAAAAGTATTGGTTTAAAAAGTGAAGGTTTTAAGAAGCTTTTTGGATTCAAACCAGCTTTCTCCAAAGAGTTTTGGTGGAAACGAACAAGCTCAAAACATTGCTCAACAATATCAATTTCATTTACCAAACGACTTTACTTCAAATGTTATATGGTAGACTGATGAACCCCAATGAACCAAAAGCGCCTATGCAAACGCCATTTAATCAATCATCATTCGTTATATGGCAGCATATAGTAAGTCTGAAAATTGCTGCATTTCAAGATAAACTCGAGAGACAGTTATTGAATGCTAAATAAAAGGGGAGTTTTGGTTTTGTTATACGATTTTCTATAGGAAGGCAACTGCGCAGGATCAAAAAGTTTTTTTCAAAAACTGAAAGAGCGGTTTCTTAAGGCAATACCTAGTAATGAAATGATCTTGCCGGACGATAGGGAACCAGCGGTAAGATTTTAAAGAGAGGTATTGAGTATGTAGTGATTATCTCCAGATTGTATGGGATCCTGCAAAAGGTCGATACGTGGACACTGACGATACCGAAGAAGTGACAACTGCTTCACCTACTGCTTCACCTCTCATGCTAGATGCTCAAATTTCGAACTTTGGCACTAGCGGACTTGCGGCAGCTCGCAAAAGCGGGGGTAAATTTTTTACTTTCTCATTTTGTTTGGATTTTAGTAAATACGGCTATCATTCAGGATCTCGTTATTACAACCCATGGAAGAAACAGTCGTCAGTGGATGATGTTATTAGTCCACCATCCGTACCGGTCCCTGCGGCTACGCTTCCACCGCATTTCGGATTTATTCCCACCACGCCTGGTGAATATCGTATTTTATAAGCAGTACTGTCCTTGACTTTAGAGATATTCAGACGATGCTGGAGAACTGTCTGCATTCAGCGAACAAGCGCCATGATCACACATGAAAGAAAGGTTATTACTGCAGAATAATGTCAAGAAATATAAACATAACTGCTCTCCCATGTTTGCCTTGAACACCAACGTGAGGAAGCGATCGCCACGAAAAACTATAGAACACTTTCGCTCATATGATTCTGTCATTAAAGGTTTGGTTACATAACAATGTTTTAGGGATGATAGGTGTGATTTACCATTTGATTCAACTGGCTTGCCTTCGGGAAGGCGGGGCTTCGTGACCTATTAAGGCTAGGTTATGATTAGAGAGCACGAGAGAGAGGCAGGTGTGTCGCGGGCGCGAACGACCTCAGTTAGGTCACAAGGCCTCTCCTTCCTGAGGCCAAGCCAGTTGAATCAAAGGTTATATCCAGGGTGAGCCACAATCACTGACGCAGTATTCTGCAATTTGTAGATGGGAGGGGGGGGGGGGGCTCAACGAATGGTAAAGAATGGTTTGTTTTTTGAATCGTTCCTCATCTTGGATGCCCTAGTGTGATTGAGAATCTCATTTATAATGAGAGAAAATTCAGAAAATGTCCCACCGCTTCTTCATGAAGAGGGCACTGTTAGCATGATAGGGTAAGTTTTCTGCTTAAAATACTTTTGAGGGGGATCCTAGGAGAAGACATGTGTATACCGCATTCCGAAACTTTACTGCACACAAGCGCGATAAAAGAATGGGATGATGTTATATAATCAGATTAGTCAGATTTGCAACTGACCTCAGCAACTGGCTGAAACTAAATGTTTATTTAGAAGCTTCATGGTAGGAGATTACCAGGATCGAGGATTGTGGGATACACCGACACGACAACCCCTCCCCCCCCCCCCCCCCCCTTCCTTCCTCCGAGTGTCTTGATAAATCAATTGTCGTCTATCTATTGTAGGCATAAGATGAGGTCCTTCCATGCATAGTGAACAACATATTCGTAGTTTAAATAACTAATGGACCAAGTTTTAGTAAGTTCTAAATTTTCCGGATATTGGGCTATCCAAAAGGGGTGGTGGTTTTCAAACAAAAATAGCTGTTTTAAAGGCGAGTAAGCTACCTCCTTTTGCACTCAGTGCTACTCTCTCTCTCTCTTTGCCAATATTAGGAATCCCATTTTGAATAACCGCCAAATTATGAATTTATGAGCCGGCCAAGATCTCGTTTGTACCATTTTTCGTCAAGATTGTGCTTCCAGCAACTGCTACTCAAAATGAAGATGAGGAATCAAAACCAAAATTGCTTCCGTGGAAACTATGAGGTATAGGCTATCGAACTATGTTAATATTATTTGCAAAAAAAAAATTCCGAAGGTAAGTTTATGGGGTTGTGCCACATTATGTCCGACAGGGCTTTTTTATGCTTTGTACGCCTATGCCTTTTTTACCGCTCGCATACGATGATAGGTCAAATAATTCCTTGTGCTAACATTTTACATACAGGCTTATCTGACATTGTTAACGAGTGCCACGTTATCGCTGACATCACTGTTACCTCGACTACGATCCCCTTTCCTCTGTGACACCTCAATACGATTTTCTAAGTATGGCATGCCAAACCCATGTTCGACCCTAGAGTGTACTTTAAATTAGTGACTGTTGTTTCTCAATTTGTTCTGTAGACAAAACGTCACTGACACAGAGAATATTCAGCACGTTCCAAACCCATGCTGCATATGGTGTGGCACACGGTAACAGGCCCTTTTTGCATTCCACAGTGGGTGTTGTCATATTCAAAGAAGTCAAAACGAAGGCTCAAGCCCGTACTTTCAAGACAACTCTGTAAAATTCCGCCATGTGTTCAAGACATCCAATTACAATTGGAACAACAGTTTCAGCATGATGCCAACGTCTTGGACGTCGCAACTATTTATTGTTTCACTTTCCAAAACAAATGCGGTGTAACACTCGCGTATCGTAGTGACATGGGTAATTTGGTTAGCATTCAAAATAAATCTTGCTTTCATCTTTCAAGAAGACATATGTACCTCTCAGAGACAAACCTCAAAGGATACAAATCCATGCGGAACTTTAGATATGGAGTTTATTTGGTGTGTTATATCTAATCACAGGTTGCAATTTCGAGAAATTTTGGGCAGACACAACTACTACATTTCGGTAGTGCAAAGCCTCCTATACGCTAGAGGCACAAACTTAGAAGATTTCAGCAAATCCAGCTTCTAGAATGTCACAAGGAAAACAGCTCTGGCATAACTTGTATACATCAAAAGAATTTGGTTTTCCGGCTTTTGCAAGCTCATAGAAAATTTCTTTTTTCGAAGATGGACGTAGCGCTTATGACATGAAACTAAAATCAAAATTATAAATAGCTTTTTTTTGTGGTGCAGATGCAAAGTTGATCAATAATTTATTCGGTACTAAAAACTGTAAAGCCGCTTCATTTTCGTTATCGTAATTTGAATGCTCACATATATTTAAAACAAACGGAAGAGTTGCTTCCAATTCCTTGCTGTATGTCTTCCAAATAAATAGGTAGCCAAAGATTTATGTAAGAAATATCGAGGTCATTTGTGACGCTCTACGATGGCGTGCCACCTTAGTCAACTCACTTTCCCACAAAAGCGATATTCTGACCTTAGATTGTTGCACAACAGCTAACTTGGAGATGAAGATAAAATATGAGTAAGCTCACCGCAAAATACTTTTGTCCCAAACGAATTGTTGAATGATTCTTTGGATTGTGGGGTGTACTCTTTTGTGTTGTGAGGATGTTATTTTGGTCTCACGTACTCAGACAATCGCCGGCGGCAGGCGGGCACCGGAAAAATAGATTGCTGATCTCTCGCACCCCGCTCGCGGATTTTTTAAAAAGCAATCAGGACTTTTCGGAAGACCGCTTGCTGAGTTCTCGATTCCTCAGAGATTCAGCAATATATCTGCAAAAGATAAGAGCGAAAAAAATTCAACAGGCGGTCTCTCAAAAATCCGCTGACTCTGCAAGCGGTCTTCTGAAAAGTCCTGATTGCTTTGCAAAAAATCCGCGAGCGGGGTGCGAGAAATCAGCAATCTATTTTTCCGGTGCCCGCTTGCCCCCAGCGATTGTCTGAGTAGTTATTAGCAGCAAGTATTTTGACACATGAAGTGATAAGGGCCCTTGTGCAGCTTCATGCGAGTCCAAAAATACATCCGTTAAAGATGAATTGCATAGCGAGGAGAAAGGAACACCCTCAACAACGAAAAACGGCCATAAACATTCATCCAAGCTAAAAATGATAATCCAAATAATCTTTCCTGCATTGAAAGTGAGTAATCTAGTGGATTTTTAATAGTATCTATCAGTAGAAAGCAGATTTTTAGTTTCTATATGATGATAAGCAATGACAATAGAATATCTTTTTATACACTGACTGAACTTACTGGCTCTTCGAGTAATATTCCACAAATCAAAAGAAAAATTCAAACAATTGGAATGTACATGTTTATTCATTGAAAATGTTTTTAAATTTTAATGAGCGAATTCTGAGACAATTTGGAAACCACGGAAACTTGCTTCGTATTCTGTACATGCTTTACAACCACTTGACTCTCTAACATCACCTATCATACAGCAATCACAACAAAAGTAACCTCAACAGAATTGACCAATAAACAAGGGTTCTTCGCCTTGAAAGATGCCGTACCAGAACGGGTGGTCAGCAACAAACTCGGAAATAATGGGCATGCTCCGCGCCATCATGACAAATCCGGACGACGCAGCAGCTTCGCTTCCCTCTTCGTTTACCTATTAACAGAGCAATTCATAGTCTAGTTCACATTATTGCGAATGTGCTGCACGAAATTATGCGGGATTTTTGCAAGTCTGTGGTTTACACAAATATGTTAGGGCTTATGACTCACAATCACAGCATATACCGGCAGCCATACCTTAAAATCCAAGTCTCATTGTGTGCTTTTGAATTATAAAAAATATCAAATCTTCGGTTCCCCTCTTCTCTTAATCACTAAAAGCACGGCTCAGCCCACATTCACCCTGAAGCTCGAAAGAGACCAAACTTCGCGAACAAAAGGGGCCATGCTCGTCTTACGGACAATTCAGCCTGATCATGAACAAAGGAACAGGTTGCAGAAAATCAGAATAGACTTCTATAAAGTTCGAAGGTCCGTCCAGGAATTTTCTTCATTGTGGAGATTATTATGTAAACGCTTAGAAGTAGCAGAAAAGTTCTTCTTGATGATGGCTGGACCAAACGAAACAATTTAGCAAATGAAGGTCAAGTATAGGCCATTTGCTGCAACACAGACAGGGCGCGACAGTGGACGTTGTCGGCGTCTTCCGCACACAATTGCTCTTTCACTTCTCTTGCTGTCTACGGTATCTTTTCATGTCCGAACTATCTTAGTTGAGCGAGAAGAGTCCAGTCTTTGCGCGCGATGAGTGAGCTATACAAGAAGTTGCAAAAAACGTTTACAAAGCAACAGGAAAGAGGATAATTTTCGCAAAATTCCTCAAGAATCTGGTTAAAAAAATTTCCTAATTTGTCATGTCTTCCATTATATTTATCTCGTTAAAATTAGTGTGTTATCCAAAAATACACGCACAAAAAATGCGCTGCAATTCGGAAATCGTCTGCTCTTCATGCATACTTTTATACCGACAATTGCAAATTTTAGTTGATTTGGTTGGATTGTCTTTGATTTTTTCATGTGCGTGACATTTATCTTCCTTGTTGACAACAAAGTCAGCATCAACGAGTCCAACTCCTAGAGAAGTATTTAGTACAAATACACAAACACAAAAGCACACGGTGCTTCACTGAAGTTTCTTCACATCTCAAAGAAAGTGAAAAAAATTGTAGTTTTCACATCCCCACAAAATCCCCCTCCCCTCCTTCCGTTGGACTGGCTTTTTGCTTGCCGTTTTAGAAGACTCTTGAACAATGCAGGTTTACTACGGTTGTACAGATCTTCTCTTGAAATTAACCAAAAAGAAAAAACTGACAGCTAATGGAAATGCTACGAATATGGGACAATATGATATTTGTAGTTCTG